CATTTGTGCAGTTTTGATGACTCTTATAAAATAATATAGTTGACTTCAATTTTGATGACTCTTATAAAAGTAATACGATATGATTAAAATTTGTGAAGTTTATAATTTGGATCCATTATTAAATATTTAATTAAATTATAAAAAATATTTGTTTAATATTAACATTTAAAACATGATAAATAAATAATTTTTATGTAAAGTATAACATATAATATACTAAATATTGATCTTACATAATATCAACTATTAACTATACTTAAAATTATAAAATATGTAGATTGAATAAATAATTTTAATAAATGATTCAATTCAAATGATTTTCATTAAAAAAATTAAATACATAAAATAATATTTAATTTTATACTATTTTTTAGATCAGTTTATAACTTTAATTTATATATTTTTATTTGAATACTTCTATATAAGACCAACACAATAAGTCTGTAGGTTTTTTTTCGGCTCGAAAATTTTGTATTTTTAAAACTTAATCACAATTTTAATATTTTTTTATTTAATTTATTTATGGAATTGATATGTCATGACCAAAATGTCTCTAGAGTAAACATAGATTAAATAAGATGACTATCTTGTTTTTGATGCACTTTTAGTTTGATTGACTCTTTTTTAATTCAACCATATGTTGAAGGTGGTCTTTGTCGGACACTCTAACACTCAACTTAGTGATTAAACAAGGTAAATAAAGAAATCTTTTAAAAATTCTAAAATGTATAGCTTATTATAGCATCTTTTATTTCTTTTCTTGAAATATTGTTAGGGTTTATGTAGGTTCTTATCCTTTAATTTTAATCAAAAGTATTTATACTATTATATGTAAGGATTTGATTTTTTTTTTCTATGATCCAACAATTTTATCTTTTGTGGATTCATAGATATTAATTATCTTTTGCCTTTTCGTTTTTCTCTTCTTATGAATATAAATACTTCAAAGAGCTAAAGTCTTCTAGACTCTCCTCTTTGTTGTCATTCATCTATTTCTTGTGATCACTTCAAACCACTTTTGTCCTCTTCCACAATCGTATTCAAAGTATTCCAACTTCCTTCCTCTTTGACTGGTAAGTTTCTCAGTTCCCTTATTCTCTGCATTTTATTGTCTTTATTCTTTATAGTGTGGTGGTAGTTCTCAAAGAGATGAGGTAAATGTGTGAGGTTGCTCCTTTCACACCTCACTTTCTTCTTTGTGTATCTAGGTACAACGGTTCATTCTATCAAATACCATTCAACTCTGCTCTAAATAGGAGGTGTGCACCTTCTTCCTTTAGGTAAATGATATCTTCTTTAGAATGTCTAAAGTCTTATGTGATTCAACATAATTGAAAAACTATAATGTTGTTACTAAAGTAAGGGTCCATTTGTTACTTGGAAGATTATTACCCATTTTTCACTGATAAAATATGTCAAAATTGTCCTCATTCAACTTTTCCAATGTCCGATGCGTTTTTTTGAGAAATGAATTTTTTCTTACCCTTCACCCTTTCTGAGTGAGAGATTCTTCGATATTTTGTCCTGACGCATTCGTAATTGCATCCTAACTATTGGGCGTTTCTACGAGTTTTCAATTTTATATGTCAGTACCTGAACCGAAAGGTTTCTCTTGAGATTTATCTTCACATCTTTACAATTGGCTTAGAAGGTTCTTCTTTCCCTTTTGGTTTGGTTTATTTCAAACACACATTTACATTGTTTGATGTGTTTACCGAATCTTTAAAGAATTTTAAATTTCACTTTGTGGTGATCGAATCAGTTATGATTAAAGCTCGTTTAATATATAAAGTTGTTGAGAAGGATCTTCAAAAATAGTATGATGCAGTTTAAAAAAGATAAAAGAAATATATAATTCAATTTATTTTACAGAAAAAATATACGAAACTTAAAATTAAAATAATAACTAGACTACAATAAGGAAGCATACTTTATTACTGAGTACACAAATTGTATACACATAAAATTTTTAGTAATCTTAATATAAATTTTAAGGTTCTGTATGGAAAATTAGTGATTGAGTAATAAACTAGCTGATAACTTATAGTTTATAATTGATGGTTGATAGTTTATAGCTTATAGTTGATGGTTGATGATTGATAGATGATAAGCTAATTAAAGTGTTTGGTAAAATTAATAATTTAGCTAACTGATAAATCTAAAATGACATAAAAAATATTTTTTAATTAATAATTAAAAATATATTTAAAATAATTAAAATTTATAAGGGTAATAATGAAAGAAAAAATGATAAGCTATAAGTTAAAAGCTAAAACACTATTTAAAATAACGTCTAAAAAATAAATTATAAACCAGTCAAATAAGTTATAAATTCGTGATGAAAAAACTGTTACCAAACAGATCTTTTATTATCATACGTGCTTATAAATTATAAACTATAAACTCAAAATATGGCATGTCAAACAGAGCCTAAGACTAATTTCACAATAAAAAAAAAGTTAATCTAATTAATAAGGATTTGATTCATATCTCATAAAATTACAAGTATTAATTTCATTAATAATGACTTATAGTTATAGTACTTCAAAACTTCAGAAAGTAACTTATTACTATTCTTGAGAAAAGTAGAGATATGTATACAAAAACAACTGTATTCATCAAGAAAATTGTCATTAAATGAAGAAGTACTATAAAACTTATATAACCAATAAAAACAACTACCTAACTAATATAACTAAAATACAATTATTATCATAATACCAAATGTGAAAACCAACCAAATGGAGAGGACACAAGTGTGTTTGGGATATATATATAGTAACTTATTTTCTTTTTTTAGTTTGAGTTGTGTTCCCATTGTCCATTCCATGAAAAAACATATGGCTTCAATCTCAAACACCACATGTTCTGTTAAACCAACAAAACCCCATCAAAATAACACTTGATTTTCATTTTCAAACTAGACCAAGTTTATAGCAATATTATAATAGACCCTTGAGGTTAGTTAGTTCCAATATTTTTCTTATTTTTTTAATTAGTTGCATCTTATATAACACTTGTTAATTGCTATCTCTTAATTTCCAACTCACAGCTTGAAGTGTTTGTGTGCAAAAATGAACAATGGTGATGTGAAAATGACAAAGACAGAGACTATTCTTCATGATCTTTATGAGAAACAAAGACAGACTCCTTACTATGATAATCTCTGTCGACCCGTCTCAGATTTGGTTCCGTTCATTGCATCTGGAATCAGAGGTGTTACTACCAACCCCGCGGTATTCTTCTCATTTTTTTCTTCACCTATATTTACTCATGAAAACATCGTGATTTCGCTTTTTGTTTTCTTTCCTACCAAACCTGCACTATGTATGATAATGTGTTCATGTTGCAGATATTTGAAAAAGCTATATCATCATCAAATGCTTACAATCAACAGCTGAGGTTTTTTCTTTTCTTTCTTCTAAAGTGAGAAATTCAGTTTAGTGAAGTTAATCCAATATAAATTTGATTTATGGTTAAGCAGGGATTTGGTAGATGCAGGCAAAGACATAGAAAGTGCCTACTGGGAATTGGTTGTGAAAGACATACATGATACTTGCAAACTCTTGGAACCAATTTACATTGAATCAGAGGGAGTAGATGGCTATGTATCTGTTGCAGTTTCTCCCAAGATTGCAAATGATACCAAAGGGACAATTGAAGCAGCAAAATGGCTTCATAAAACGGTTGCATGTCCAAATGTTTATATTAAAATTCCTGCAATTGATGAATCCATTCCTTCAATAAAGGAAGTTATTTCTCTTGGGATAAGTGTTAATGTCACTGTAAGTTTCTTATCTATGAACCTTCTTATATATGAAGCACTAACACATATACAAACGGTGATATGTCAACACAATCAGAAGTGTCAATGTCACAAAACTTTGATCATTGCAGGCTGCAGACGTAATGTTATGCTTATTGTTTGTGTATTTTGAACAGCTCATATTCTCTCTCCCTAGATATGAAGAAGTTATTAATGCTTACTTGGATGGTCTTGAGGCTTCTAGTATGAATGATCTGTCTAAGGTTTCAAGTGCAGCAGCTTTCTACATCAGTAGAGTGGATGTTGCAATTGACAAGAAACTTGAGCAGATTAGCACTGCTGAGGCTCTTGATCTCACAGGAAAGGTCTGAAACTTTTCCCCCTTAATTTGGATTGATTATAGTTAATAAATGTTGCAGTCATTCTGGTCTGTAATCGCGGATCATTAGGTGAAGATCAGACATTGTGTTTTCACTTTTAAACTATGATTTTCAACAATGTAATGATTATTTCAGGCCGCAGTTGCTCAAGCAGTGTTAGCTTATCAGCTTTACCAGAAAATGTTTTCGGGTCCAAGATGGGAGCTCTTGGAGAAGAGAGGTGCCAAGAAGCAAAGATTGATGTGGGCATCAACCAATGTGAAAAATCCATCTTACCCAGATACTTTTTATGTTAATTCCCTTATTGGACCAGATACGGTAATTTCGACAATAATTTAACTGATTAACGCAGTTCAAACATGTGATTAATTACATTGAATGGACATTATAAAGTTAACAAAATAAGTGGTCATTCTTTGGTGCATATGCAGATTTCAACCATACCACCAGACCCTGCTCTAAAAGCATTCATGGACCATGGTATTCTTTCAAGAACCATTGATGCAAATGTATCAGAGGCCGAAAGCATTTACAATGCAATCGAGAGATTGGGGATTGATTGGAGTCGTGTTGGATCACAACTTGAAAACGAGGTGCTGGATTCTTTCAAAAGAAGCTTTGAAAATGTGATTGAATGCTTGGGAAAGAAAGCTAGAATGTAAGTGGCAGTGCATACAAATAAGCCAATGCTTGATGCCTATGGGATTTGATGATGTAAAGCTTGGTGTGTCGCTAAAATATTTGCTTCCATTCTTTACCGGTCACAAATGATGATGTTTTGAATAAAATAAAGTGCATATAGGTAGATTGTTAAACACACTACATATGCTAACCTCACAATTATAAACCATGTACTATTTTCGGGCGGCCGATCTCATCTCACTCATTAATGTCCGGCGAAAACCACTGCCACCACCAATAGCAGCCTCTAAATCCAATAAGGAGCTGCTCATTATGTTGTGTATCCGACGTTCAGGCTCTGACTTACTAAAACAATAAACAGGAGCCTGCCAATGCTCATCCTCCAGCACTGCACCAACCTCAAATGTCATCACATGAGCAACCATTCCTACATTCACCAACCATCATATATATCAGCCTAGCAAATCACTACCAACACAATTAGTAATTAATTAATTAAATAAAAACATATTTTTTGTTCGCAAATCCTAGCTCAACGGATAGAAACTGATATTATTAGGTTGAACGTCAAACACTGGAGATTAAACTATAATACATTTCAGTGGTTATTACCATCATAGAAGATCCACTTGACGGGTCTTCGAGTAACAACATCCTCGTAGTAGTGAATAAAATCAACTTTCTCCCAAACATTACACAGAAAATTATCAGCATATTCTTGACCTAAATAGTTAGCACCTTCAAGCCAATTGGGTCGGAGAATTCCAACATCGAAATGAAGCGTTTGGCAAGTGCGGTTGAAAGGGTCTAGAGTGTAGACAAAAGAGGTGCCGTTGTTCCATTCAGCGTCGTATTTGAGAATACCAAGCTGATGCTGGTTGATGTTGAAGTTGCGTCCGTTGGGCCAATCGTACCATAAGTCGGTTTTTCGAAGAGTGCCGAATCCCTTGACGAATAGCTCTGAGTGGAACTGTTCCGGCCACGGCGCTGGAGTTGGGGTCTCTGTGGTTGAGGTTGAGAGACGAAGGAAGAAGAAGAGGCACAAGCAGAAACAAATGCGTTGTTCTGAGGCTGAGGCCATGGCGGATTTCGGAAAGAGGAATGTACTGTATGTAAGAATCGCGTGGATAAGATATATGCGGATATGGATTCTCTACCATTTTGGCGCCAACTGCCACGTGTATTTTTAAAGGAAACCACAAGCACCAACATAATAATTTAACAACATAAACTCTTTTAAATATTAAATACAACAGCAATCAACAAAATACACCAAACAACATAACATAATTTTAGTGTAAAAAAACTTATGTTAACCAGAAGTAGAATTCACGGACCCATAGACCACTTAGATTATCTACTATTATCAAATAATGGATAAAATCAAGGTGTTCTCTAATACTACTTAGAGACGTACATAAATATCATCAAGATTTACAATCAATCTTGAAATACAACAAGAATAAAAAAAGATAAAATAACTCAAAAACATCAAGAAATTTACACCTCAAAGATGGACTCGACAGACGAACTTAGAAAACTCAAAATATAATCTCCATCGTTTAGAATGTACTCTTATGAGTCATGAACACTGATAAAATTTTACGATGATGTGATAGTTAGATTGTGTGCAAGCTCTGATTTCGTGAAACTGCTCTGTGTTGAAAGAAGATTGCGAAATTTCATTATTATCTCTATTTTTCTTGTTTCTCACACAATTAATAATTGACATAACTCTCTTTGATAGATAATAACAAAGGCTTACACACACATGGATCATTAATCCACGTCCATTTGGGCCACTCTAAATAAGAGGGATTGGCCAACAAACTCCCCCGACCAACTAGCTTTAAGGCAATACCAATTCGGCTTCCATACGACAAAACTCAAATTTACCCCTAGGCAACACCCTCATCAATTTATTTGAACCATTAGCATCAATGTGAATCTTCTCAAGCTCCATCAACTTGGAATCTAATGCATCACGAAACCATTGATAACGAACATCAATATTCTTTGACCTCTGGTGAAAGGAGGAATTCTTCGATAAGTGAATTACACTTTGATTTTCACAAAAAAAAGTTTTCTTGTTTCACGCCAAGTTCCGTTACAAATTTCCTTAGCCATAACAACTCTCTGACCCTTCCACAACGGCTATAAACTCAACTTCGATAGTAGAGAGTGCAACACACTTTTTCAACTTTGATTGCTAAGCTACGGCTTCCCCGACAAGAGTCACCATATACTCCAAAGTAGATTTTAGATCATCTAAGCTTTCGGCCAGATATGAATCTGTATACCCAACCAACACGAGTTTCTTGCATCCCAAGGTTAGCTTCAAATTCGACGAACTATGCAAATAATTCATCACCGACTACACGACATCTCAATGATCTTTTCCCGTATTTAAAAGATAACGACTCACCATTCCCACGACATGAGCAATATTAGGTCTTATACAACTCATAGCATACATCAAACTACCAACGCCTGATGTAACGCCCGTTTATTTAATTAATTATTTAATTAAATTATTTTTGGATTATTCGTTGAGGTTGTAAGATGTTGTAAATTATTGGTAGAAGTTGTTAGATTATTATTAATTAATTAGTTGATTAATAATAATAATGTTGAAATTAATAGAATATTTATGTTGGGCCTATTTTATTGGTTGGAAGTTGTAAAGTAGGGGGTGTAGGTTAGGACCAATAAGATTGATATATAAGGTTAAGCTGACACAAGGATTTAGTTTTTGGAGAATAAGGAATTATGTGGGCTGACTGTGTGAAGCCGCCCAACGAGAGGAGCAGCTAACTGATGTCGAGCAGAGTAAAGCGAGGATTATGGCCGGAGCTTTGGTGGAGCGAACTTCAATCCAGGTAAGGGTGGGTGTGATACGGAGGGAGAACTGACTTGGAGTTTTGCGTTTGTTTTTGCAAATGTTGTGGTTTATCAAGAGTCGCCACCGACTTTTCTTTTATCCAATAAGGAAAGGTGAAAAAGTACAGGAAATACCTTTAGAGATGTTTTCTTGAGTTCGGGGGGTAGATTATGAAAAGGGAAGGTGTTAGCACCCTTTTCATCCATGGTTTTCCATGGGCTCTTAGTTACTCTCTAGATCACTTGTTTTTGTTTGAATGTGCTTTGTGGTGTGGGCTTTGAAAGTGTTTTGAAAAATCTCTTTGTAATGGTTCTCGTCTCTATAAGAACGCGTACAGAGTTTTTGTTTCGAAAGATAGTTCAAAGACGTGTTTGTGGATTGTGTTTTTGAAATTGGTTTTTGGAAAGATATTTTGCAATGGTTCTCGTCTCTATAAGAACGTATACAAAATGTTTTATCCTTTTGAAAATGTTTTTGAAATGGAAGTGTTGGTGTGTAAAAGTGTTTTTGTCGTGAGCAAGCGAGTAACTAGGAGCGAATCTACCTACTCGAAAGGTCTTAAATGTGCTTTTCCTTCTCCTTTAGACGTGGCTATCTTACCATTGATTTGGTAAGAAGCCCCGTCGTTGGATGTGAAGGGACGAACGTGGGACGTTTGAATAGTCATAGAAGGCAACTTATGAGACGTTTTAGCAATGTCGTTTAGGGACTAGATCGTTTTCCGAAGGCAACATCGAGGGTCATCAAGGGACTACGATCTTTTTTTATCGAAGGGTCTTTGCTAAAACGTCTCATATTCGAGGGACATGACTATTTTCTGAAAGGGGCACAAAATAAGATTACCCTAGAGGTGCTAGTGTACAAGTGTGTTAGTTTGCATGCATTTTGTCTTATATTTGAAATTCGTCTATTTGTTGATTTTATCTTGCCATACACACTTAATTACTAGCATTTGTATAAAAGTAAATAAAGATGCAAGAAATAAAAACCTACGCTATTACAACCATATCGAATTGTGTGGAAATATCAAGGACGAAAATAAAATAAATGCAAGTGAAATGGACCCTTCGATTTGGATCGAAACACCCTTCGAATTTGCATTTGTTGACTTCCTTCGATTTGGATTTCTGACTCCTTCGACTGAGAGCTGGAATCAAGATGGTCACGCTTTTCGATTCTGTCTAGAAAGTAGTGTAGTTCTACCTTTCGCTAGAGGCCTAGAAGCAACAACATTCATTCCTTGCCACAAGTTCCTTGTTGGCTCTTTGTATGCATAAGGAATCTTCAGAGTATGATTCGAAGGGCTTATGCGAAAGCCAATCGAAGGGTGCAACCAACCTGTCTTACAGTCTAAAAATGCAATATCTAGATATAACTACGATCCAGGGGTTAGCATGAAAACTTATGAGTTTCAAAGTCCAAACCATAACTAGACTAAGGCTGATTCTTTTTTGACATACAGGCAGTCAAAATCGAAAACATAATCTAGAAATGTCTATGTTTATCCTACAGGCAGTCAGAATCGAAGGCTAAGACAATAGTTTGGAAATGTCTATATTTTTTTCATATTGGCATATGTACATGATATTAAAACAACATGGACTCAAGCTTGAAAGAAAACTTACCTCTTGAGCTCCTTAAATCGAATGGAGGTGTACTTGCTTTCTATGATGGAAGATGTGGGTTCGTTGGGGGCCTCCTGAGGCTAGCCCAGTTTCTACTTGGTGAAGGTGGTGACTGGATTTAAAGGGGTGGTACGAGTGGGTCGAAAGATGTTTTGTCACAACTGATGGGACAAGTCGAAAGCCTACTGTATGATAGCTGGGTGAGTGGGTCGAAGGGTGATTTGATGGTCACTTAGAGAATGAACCGAAGGTTTCTTCTTAGTGTGAAAAAAATGTTAAAAAAATGTTGAGAAGTGTTTGAGAATTTTGAGAGATTTCACAAATGTTTTCTTGCAAAAAAAATGTTCAGGGTCTCATACGTGTGCTGATGCCTCCCTTTTATAGGTGGCTTGAGCTGATGCTTTTGGGAGGGAAAACAAAAAAGGTTCAAACAAAAAGGGGTATACTGTATTTGTGGATTTCGAGGGACAGTCTTTTATTGCCATTTTGGTGCAAGGAATAGGGCAGTAATGCAGGATTGTCGTGCAGCAGTTTTGGAGTTTTATGGCCAGTGCCTCAGGCTTAACCCCAGCAGCGCATGGGATTTAGTCAACAAGACTCCTTGAATACTCCCCCCTTTCGTTTTGATCACTTCGACCAGATCCATCACCACATAGAAACCTTTATTTCCAGACAAAGTATGCTATAAGTACGCTTCTTCGAAGGGTTTAGTGGTCCAACCTGCAAATCAAAGAAGGACACCTCGAAGGAAATCATATGCCCAGCTTGTGGATCAAAGGGAGACTGCATTCCCCAATCGAAGCTTTGCTAAATGGAAGCCAACTTGTTTCTTGACCTAATCAAAAGGCGTACTAACATATTCAAAAATTTACATTTTCTTTATTTCTTTAAACATGTTTTTGTAATCACACATGCGAGAGAAATATTGAGAGAATGAAAGGGAAAATTTTGGGGTACAACAACTACCCCTATTCAATCTTCTTAAACCTGAGGATGTAGCTTGGTTGATCTGCCTTTCGTGATCTGAAGGTAGAAGATGATTGAACAATAGAGTGCCCAAAAATTTGCACTAGATGATGTGGTGGTTGATTGTGTAGGGCATGGGCTTAAAAGATGCCATTTGGAAGGAGACAGATAATCACTGGAGATAGGCTTATAGATGCCATCCGGAAAAGATCGGTTGCATAAGAAATTCCTGGATGAGAGTTATTGTATCTGCTGTCGAGGGGGGGACTTTGCAGGGGAATGTCAACTTATGCACTGGGAAGTAAAGTCTAGGAGCTTCGGTTGTCCATTACTCCACTGAGGAATTATCTCCTGATTGAGGAGGCGAAAGTAGAACGTATACCCGGTCAGGGTCCAGGCTGTACAGCAACTCGCTGGGGAAATGTGAAATCGACCATGTCTGGTCGGGTCCAGGCCTTATAGTGTTGTAAACTATTGTCTGGAGATAAGGGGGAAGGAACCTGGATAGTAAGGTTACTTTGAAATGAAAGTCTGGGTAGTGGGGCTGTGAGAAGGAACCTGGATAGTAAGGGTTACTTCGAAATGAAAGCCTGGGTAGTAGGGCTGTGA